TTTTTTTTTTTTTTTTTTAAATGTTTATTTATTTTTGAGACAGAGAGAGACAGAGCATGAACAGGGGAGGGGCAGAGAGAGAGGGAGACACAGAATCGGAAACAGGCTCCAGGCTCTGAGCTGTCAGCACAGAGCCCGACACGGGGCTCGAACCCACGGACCGTGAGATCGTGACCTGAGCTGAAGTCAGACGCTTAACCGACCGAGCCACCCAGGCGCCCCTGTTTATTTCTTTTTAAGAGAGAGAGAGCACGAGCAGGGAAGGGGCAGAGAGATGGGGACAGAGGATCCGAAGTGGGCTCTGTGCTGACAGCAGAGAGCCCAAGGTGGGATCCAAACTCACACACTGTGAGATCATGACCTGAGCCGAAGTCAGATGCTTAACCGACTGAGCCACCCCGGCGTTCCCCAGATGATCTCTCTTAATCCTCATTGTCCACTCTGCCAGCGAGCTGCTATTAGCTCGACCTTAAAGACGGTCACACTGACACTTGTCTCTGCCGCTGCAGTCGGGCCACGGCCAGGGGCGCGGGGACTGGGGAGCAGGGCTGTGAGGCATCACGAGGTCTCCGGCTGCTCTGAGGGCACCGCCATGCTGGTGCTCAGCCTTGGCTGTGAGAGGAGGTCACCAGGGCAGGAAGCCCCCAGTCTGGCGGCCTGGCAGCCAAAGGGGTTTATTTCAACCCAATGCCTTTCTTTCCAAGAAAAGTGGAAAGGCCTGTCTATTCTGATTACAGCTGACAGCCTGCCTCAGGCCAGTCTTTGATAGAAATACTCCCATTATATAAGGGGGTTACATAAATCATCTTGTGATGTCTGTCACACATCCGCGAGGTGCTGGCCGTGCCGCTGTGCCTCTGAAGGGGCATTTGTGTATTTCCGGAGTTGAGATGGTCAGGCCCAAGTCGGCAGGTCGGGAGGGGCGTGCCTGGCTCTCTGGGTTAGCTAAGCCCCTAGGAGGGAGTCGGGGCCTGCGAGTTAGTTAATAGCAGGGAGCAGCATCATACAATGGTCACGAGCAAGCATCTGGACCCGGCTGCCGGCATCTCAGTCCCTGGTCTGCCATTTACTGACCAGACGACCTTGGGCAAGTTTCCATGCTAATTTGTGCCTCAGTTTCCTTATCCATTGAACAAATGGCTCACTATGTGTCATATACCTTGATCCAGTGGTGAGTGCTGGCTAGGGCCGAGCTCTGAGCAGACGTCAGGGTGCAGAACAGCCTGACCTTGGGTGAATCATCTCCCCTACCCGGCCTCTCTTCTTCACCTCTAAAATGGGAAGACGGCCCATCTCTTGGAACGGAACATTCTACAGAGGTGTGGAAACGTAAAATTGTCTTTAAAATTTATTTTTGGCGATTGAAAATATTACATGCTAAAAACTGTACTAACAAACACACACTCAAACGAGTTGTAACTCACAAGCCAACACACTAGACCCGTTAGCCTGGGCAGTTAACCGGTTAACGCCCCAGGGGACTAGATACTAAAGCTTCTTGGGGAATTGTTTTCATTTGATGACTATCCTGAGATAGTGAGACAGACTTTTAAAAATGTACCATTTTAGCCTCTTATCTCTTTACGTCAAGATTTCTATAGGTTCTGCAACCAGAGCAAAATATGGCCGATACTAGACTGTAATCCACAACTCCTGATTTTGAAGTTCTAGGTCATCAAAACACTCTCCTGGTGTGAATCTGTTTTCAAAATAAGTGGAAATAATCGCATTTGGGTGTGTAAAAGAAATCTGCCCTCCTAGCACGTCCCTGTCACTGTTTCATATATTGGACTCCCTCAGGAGTCTGTTTAAGGGGCTTCTTTGTGTAAACACAGTTCGAAAGTCCACTGCTCCAGGTGACCTTCCAGGGTCCCCCTCTGGCTGGGTGGTTCATGCATTGTCACCTGCCTCCTCTCACTTTTGTTTCCAATCTGCAGCTGTGTTGGCTGAATTCTAGAAGTGGGTTATGTCAGATGACGTCCAGGAATTCTGGATGGGTGGCTCCAGGTAGTTTGGGAAGCCAGGGAAAGTTGGGGTGTTTGTCCCAGTGATGGGTGGACAGAAGATGGCTGTTAAGTTGTCAGAACAGAGTTGGTCTCCCCTCCAGCACGTTGCACTGGGGACAGAGGAGTGAGCAAAGGAAGCCCCCCTCCTCCGTGCCCTCTGGTCCCCGCACGCAGGTGCTGAGTGGAGTTACTAGAACCCGGAAGTCCCTGACACTGAACCGTGTAAATAATCTTGAGGAGGGGTTAGCGCAGCTGGAAGGTCAGAGACCTGCATCCGTGACGGATGATGGGGAAGGAAGTCTCAAGTTCAAGTCAGCCCCGCTCATGTGCCTTTAACAGGTGCTTCAGTGGCCCCGTCTGGTGCGGAGAGATGCAATTATGAAACGGTGCTCCCTGTTCTCCACACACCCACGGTCCAGAAGGAACACCGAGGATTTGTTGTCAGGTGCAACCGTAGCCGTCACCAGGCTCCTTCACTAAGTCCTCTCTGTGCCGAGGCCGTTCTACAGAAATTCGGAGGTGAATGAGCAGTTGTGCCCTGCTTTCACGGAGCTCACTCAGGTGGAGGTAGATGGGTGGGTGGGGCAAATAGTAAACAAACAAACAAATAGAGGCAGCAGTTTTTCCATTCGGTGGGGTGGGCAACATATTTGATTCATGAAACATTTAGTGAGAAACTACCCTGCGCCAGGCCCCGGTTAGGGGTCAGATTACCAAAGGCTTTCTGGGTTAGGCCAAGGAGGTTAGACTTCATTTTGGATCTATAAACACAGGGATGGGAGAGGGTGCACGGAGACTGGCCTGGCTTCAAGTTCAGTTTTGCCAGTTGTTGGCTGTGAGGCCTTGAGAAAGCAGCTCAGTCTCACATCCTTCATAGCAGTACTCCCCTCAGTGAGCTGTTGTGGGGTCAGGTGGGGTCTTCTACATGTGATCACTGATTGCAGCTCTTGGCACATATAAGGTGCTGACCAAGTATCAGTTTCTTCCCTCCTCCTCCCTCCCTCTGCCCTCTCCCTCCTCCCCCTTCCTTCCTCCCTTCCTTCCTCCCTTCCTCCCTCCTCTCCCCTTCCTTCTTCCCTTCCTTCCTTCCCTCCTTCTTTCCTTCCTTCCTCCCTCCCTCCCTCCCTCCCTTCTTTTCTTTCTCCTCAATAAGTAGGAAGAACACACAGGAAAAACAGCCCATATAAGAGCACTATGGAATGAGTTTTTAAGCTATGGACTCAGACCCCACAAGGTTCACTGGCCTCGGGGGGTTGCTACTGGCAGAGCAGTGAGGGGACGATGTCACCGGCGAGCAAAGCCCGGTGGGCTGCAGCAGGAACAGACCCCGAGCCTGCAGGAGGCCACAGTGGGAATGGGCCGGGATGGTTTGAAGCCAGCGTCCCAGTAGAGAATGATGCAGAAGGCGGTTAAGTGGACCAGCGCTGGGTTACAGAGGGATTCGAACACTGGCCGAGCCATGTGACCTGGCCCCCAAGCAGGAGGCCCACCCCGGTGACCTCAGGGCAGCCCTGTGCAGGGCCAGTTCGGAGGAGCAAGGATGTTCCCGCCTGTACCGGTCAGGCTGGGCTCGGTTCTGCTGCAGAGACAACCCTCGGCTCTCAGCGCTTAGAGCAACGATGACTTAGCCGTCGTGCTGCCGTGGAGAGCACTGGGAGACTCCAGTCCAGAGACACCTCCATGCCAGCCCCTGCTTCCCCCGCTGCCTCGGCAGGGGGAGGGGCACGGGGGATCCCACGCCTGATCCCCGATCTCTAAATTAAGTTCCGGCTTGTGGGCACAGGGCCCTCTCCTCCAAACCCTTCATTTGGCCTGCAGGGACCCTCCAGCCAGAGAGGGAGGCGGCTTGAAGCCAGGCCACTGTGGCCAGCGGCAGCAGTCTATTGGCCAGCAGGAGGGGGTGGGACCATCCTCCTGGGTGAGTCCCCTGGGCCTGCCCTGCAACTGCTCCCATGCGGGCGAGGGGACCTCAGAGAGGAGTCCTTGGCATCACAGACCGTGCTACAGAGGTGGGGTGTAGGCCGCCGGCCCGGCCGTTCAGCTGAGCGGAGGACCGGAGGAGACCCTGGAAGAGGAAGGGGGGAAAGGACGGGAAGGGGAAGAGGTGGAAGGGAAAGGAGGCCGAGCAGAGAAAGGCAGGAGGCGCGGGGCCCGCCCAGGTCGGCCGGCACGGAGGCCGCACCGATCAGCCTGCCTCCGCCCGCGGCCTCACCTTCCCTCCGGCCAGTCAGTGGGCAGGGCCAGCGGCCAGCGCAGGGCTCCCTCGCTCGCTCAGAGCGGCCCGCTTGCGGCCCCGCCGGCGTTGGCACGGTGACAGTAGCCAAGTGTGCAAACTTGTGCCATTGTCCCCAGGCCAGGGGGAGCCATGGAGACTGGCTAATATGACACAGGAAAATGTTTGCTGATGGCAATTCTATGGGCTTTGTCCACCTCTTTCTCCATCATGACGACTCGATTTAAGTCCCTAACTGTTTGACTACAAATGCAAGGGGACCGTGCAACGCCAGCCTTTTGTCCGGCCGCGCTGAATGGGCAATTCAGGCTTTGTGCAGCTCAATTGAGGAAGCAAACATAAAGACAAGATTCCTGAGAGCTCCGGCTCCCTTCCCATGGATATCCCAGCACCTCGTTAGGGAGTCCTTCCCCGGCTACCTTTCCCGGCATCAGCGAGCCGCCTGCCCTCACAGGCTGGCCAGTGGCCGGTGCCTCCGGGAGGGGGCTGGGAAGAGGGAGACAGAGACAGACAGAGACAGAGAGGGAGAGAGGAACGGGGCGGGAGGGGGAGAGGGAGAGACACTCAACACTCAAGGACAGAGGGGAAAGAGCCCGCCCCAGCTTACCCCGTCCGATTGTCTGTCTGCACTGGGGCATGGCAGCTGTAGGCCTGGAGTCTTTGGGGGAGGTATGCAAGCCCATCTCTTCTGGGCCCAGCCCCTCCTCAATCCTGGACTTTTTAAACACACGCACGCACACACACATGCACACACACACACACGCACACACACACGCACTGCCCCCTCGAGAAACCAGGGAACCGAGGTCAAGGGGAGGAGGGGCTGAAGGGTAGAAATTTACCGGGAAATGATTGCATTTGGGAGCTGTCTTTTTTGTGATGGTCCCCATGGTGACAATTTGTGACGGCAAAGAATGTGGGAACGGGGCGCTGCCGCCTGATTGGGATGCTTTGTATCTGGAGAGGCGCTCCTGATTGGCCTGAGGGGCCCCCCAGCGCCGGGGACTCGTCCTCCATCCAGCCCACTCGAGGGCTGCACGACTGCTTCCAGCCGGACGCACGGAGCTCGCCGGCCACGCCGGGCCTGGCCCAGGTCTGCCGCGGGGAACCTGCCAGGCCACGTCGGCGGGGGGCCCGGGGCCGGCCCGCACCCTCGGTCAGTGTGGAGGCTCAGGCGGCTCCCGCCGGCCCGGGTGGGGGCGTGGGGCAGGCTGGGGCCTGGGGGAGGGGCGACGGGCCTCGGGTGGTGGCCCAGGAGGCATGAAATTGCTGCAGATGCTTCTGCGGGGGAGCCCCGCTGCCCACAGTCTGAGATCAGCCCGCCAGGCAGGCCCAGGCTTGAGTGCCAGACGGGGGTCCTGCCTGTCCTGCGTGAGCGCCGGGGGTGGAGCGTGGGCGCCGAAGAGGGGGGGGCTGAAGCTAGCAGGCCTGGGGGCGGGGGTGGGAGGGGGAGGGCATCACCACTGGGGAGAGAAGGGGCTTGGCCTTGCTCTAAAGTGGAGCGGTGGCCTCGGCTCGGAAAATAAAAACCTCGCTGGCAAGTTGCGCACGTTGGCAGCGTGGTGTGTGGGAGACACGGTGCGCTGGGCACGCGGAGACTTGCGCTCCGGCCCCAGCGATGCCACTTGTGGCTGGGCCGCCCTGGGCAAGCCGCCCAGCCTCTCTGAGCCTCGGCTGCAGGGGAGGGCCAGACTTGGGAGGACTGAGTGGGCCCGCGTGTTCCCTCCCACATGCTGAGGAAACGCATGCTCAGCGGCCTGAATGGGCAGCCCGGTGCCCAGGACTGTGTTTCAGGCTAAGGGGCACTGGCCCTGCGGCCTCGGGGGGAGAGGGGGGGCGGCGGCTGGGTGCTGGTGCCCGGAGAGACTCCCAATGGCCTGTGTGTCCCCCCAGGTCAGCTCTGTGCCCTCCCCTGGAGCTGCCAGCCACGAGCAGAACCCACCCGCTTCATGGAAAGCCCCATGCAGTGGCCTCCTGGTGATGGCAAACGACAGTGACGTAAAGATGCTGCTGAACTTTGTGAACCTGGCGTCCAGTGACATCAAGGCGGCCCTGGACAAGTCTGCACCCTGCCGCCGCTCAGTGGACCACCGCAAGTACCTGCAGAAGCAGCTCAAACGCTTCTCCCAGAAGTATTCCCGGCTTCCTCGGGGCCTCCCCGGCAGAGGGGCGGAGCCTCACCTGAAAAGGGGACCCGAGGACCGGCCGGGGAGGCTGCCCCTCGATTCTGGCCATGATTCCAGTCCCGTCGGGGGTGGGGGCTGCAAGGAGAAGGCTCTGGGGAACCCGTACAGGGAGGAATGTCTCTCTAAGGAGCAGACCTTACAGGGGCAGAACCCAGAAGCTGCCAGGCCTGGCCAGGTGCCCATGAGGAAAAGACAGCTGCCCGCTTCCTTCTGGGAAGAGCCTCGGGCCACCCACAGCTACCCGCTGGGGCTGGAGGGGGGGCCGGGCCCCAGGGAGGGACCTCCCTATGAGGGTAAGAAACATTGCAAAGGTTTGGAGCCCTTGGATCCTGAGACGGCCCCAGTGCCGGCATCCCCAAGGGCACCGGCTGAAAAGGAGCCACTCAAGATGTCTGGGGTCTCCCTGGTGGGCCGTGTCAATGCCTGGAGCTGCTGCCCCTTCCAGTACCATGGACAGCCGGTCTACCCAGGTCCTCCAGGGGCCTTGCCCCAGAGCCCGGTCCCCGGCCTGAGCCTATGGAGGAAAAGCCCGGCTTCCCCCGGGGAGCTGGCCCACTTCTGCAAGGATGTGGATGGGCCGGGGCAGAAAGTGTACAGACCCGTGGTCCTGAAGCCTATCCCCACCAAGCCGGCTGTACCGCCACCCATCTTCAATGTCTTTGGCTACCTCTAGCCGGGCTGGGAGGCCCTCGGCTCCGACCTCTGGCCTGTAGGGGTGTTGGGGGCCCAGGGAGCTCTCCGCGCGAGGAGCGAGCTGGGCAGTGGTGTGGCCTCTTGGGAACCTTCCCTTTGTGTGTGTGGATGGGAGGGGAGGACAGGATTGGGGCAGTGGCTTCTCCGGCAGGCGCCAAGTCAGCCCTTGCCTTGGGAGCTGTGGGGCCGGGCTCCGCCGGCCCCTCTCCAACCAGACCAGAGCCCGACAGAGCATCCCACTGTCCTCGTGCCAGTCTTTGCCCCGGCCCGCCAGCCACTCCAGAAGCCAGAGTTACACGTCTGTTCACCTGCCACCCACTGTGTAAGCCAATCTCAGTTCTGTTCTTTTCGAGGTGTTTTTTGTTTTTGTTTTTGTTTTTTTTGTTTTTTTTTTTTTTTGTAAATAAGAAGGTTAAAAGAATAAAGACATTTCTTTTGCAGTTTCCACATCTTGATGTCATGAGGTTGAATGGTCCCCAGGTTAAGAAATGCTGGCTGGGCCCGGGGAGAGGGCAGCTTAGGGAAGGCGGCTGGCTGTGGGGGTGGCCGGGAATGACCCAAAGACCTCCATGGTGTCTGAGAATGGACACTGCGGGCCAGCAGCTCCACTCAAAGGAAGGAGGGTGGAGAGGAGTCACCGGGCAGTCACCTCTGCTTGCCAGGTCCAAGAACAGAGGGTGAGGGAGGCCCGTATCTCCAGATGGTCCACAGTGCTCTAGAGAATAAGGAGGCCGGTATCAGAGGAGATGGAGCTGGAGTCCTGGCTCTGCAATGGGATGTGGTGCTGGACCTTTCCTCCGGGGGCCTCCTTACCCCACGTGCAGCGTGAGGGATGGGATGAGAGTGGTCCCCCTCTGCTATGCCTTCCACTCTGATTACGGCCTCAGAGCAGAGGCTGGGCCAAGGCAATCATGCCCGACCCTGGCCAGAGAGAAAATCAGGACACACTGGAGCTTGGCCCCCTGTGGACAAGCCAAAAAAAAAAAAAAAAAAATCTCTGGCTAAGTCAGATTCCTGGGTAACCTGCTGATGGCCCCCTTCCTGGGCCTGGCACATACCAGGTGCCCTGTCTGTGACAAGACACAGAGCAGGGTGCTGGTGGCAGGGAGTGGCCCTGGGTCTTGCCCTGATGCTGCCTAAAGGGCAAAGCCATTGGAGGGCATGGCGCCTCCATACGGCCCAGGGTCTGCTCTGCTGCGTGAACCTGCTCCGTGGCTGAGAGCACACAGACCTCATCAAAGCACAGCTCTCACCACGGGGACAGGTGCAGGGCCAGCCCTGGCTGGGGACTGCAGTCCCCTAATTAGCAGCATGATGCTGGAAAGTTCATCTCCCTCTGTGCCTTGGTTTCCCCACTCTATAAAGCCAGGGACTAGGTCAGTGATAGCAAACTGAGGTACCTGCCATTTCTGCACCCAAGGCAAGTGTCCTCAACTAGTCACAGTCACTCTCCCTCGGGGGCCGGATACGACCTCGGAATCCTTTCTAACACAAGGCTCCAGGATTAGCGATTGTGAAGGGCCCTTCCTACTCTGCCTGGTTTTGCTCTAGGATTCCCCTGGAGTGGAGCATCTCTATGGGAGGGCGGCCTGCTCCCTGGGAAGCCAGTGGGTTTCTGGTAGTTTGTCTGATGGTCTGGGAGGACTTGAGAGCCACGGAAGCCATGTGATGCCAGCAGACTTGTTCTGAGTCGTTATCTAACACACAGGGTAGGGCATCAGGACGCTCGCCGCAGGCCGCTCCGGTCTGCTCTGCCCCTCCACACAGTACAGCAAGGTGTTAGAAGCTCTGATCCACCTACCGGCTCTGTGACCTCGGGCAAGTTACTTAACCTCTCTGGGCCAAAACTTCCTTATCAGAAAAATATGACCGAAAATAGATTGTCGTAGGGATGATGGGAGCACCTGGTACTCTTGAGTGTCACAGACCTGACAGAAAGCCGCACCCGCCAAAAGTCGCCTCCCCTAGTCATCTGGGCCATCCAACTGTCCTCCCCACCTCCCCCCCGGGGGAGGAACAGAGCCCAGGGAGGCATGTTTTCTCAGAAAGCTGCCCCAGCCCCTCTTGGGCTCCTTTCCCCAGGGGACACCCTAGTGATGCATGAATACAAACGCAGGGAGGCTTGTCTGGAAGCAGAAACCTTTACTAAGAAGCAGCTGGACAGAAGCACACGGCGCCGTGACTCCCCAGGCAGAAGCAAGTTGGGGGCAAACACATGTAGGACAGCTGTGGTTAAAAACATACAGCCGCAGCAGAGGATTCCCTGAACAAAAAAGTAAGTCGTGCTGGTTCCAAGTGAAACCCAGGAACTCACCTCCTAGCCTCACATCTCCAGCACTAACGTCCCATGTGCTGTGCACACAAACCGGAACCACTTGCAGGATTTTTAGTGTTTGGTGATGCTGTTGAGACATCTCCGTGGCCCAAGTATGGGGGTGGGGGAGGAGGGCTCTGCAGAGGGCTGTCGCTCCAAAGTCGTTCTCTGGAGCAGCGGTGGTCAAGAAATGGAACAACCAAGCAAAACCTGAGCACCGGCCAATCACAACCGACCCTTGGGAACAGGGCCCAGCCCAGGCCTTAATCCTTAAGCTTCTGGGTTGGGGTGGGGGGGGGGGTGTGGGGGGGAATAGGGGCCGGGATCTGAGAAGGCCAAGGCTGGGGAGAGACACCTGGGGAGGAGGGGCCCTGACCAGTGCCTGTGACCAACCAGTACTGATGAGCACTCGTATTCTAAGAACCCAGTGCGTCCCAGCATCCCAAGAAGGTGTCACAACCATGCCCACCTGAAAATGGGCTGGGGGTTCCCGAAAATGCCTGGCTTCCCCCACAGAGCCACGTGAGGATCCCGGGGGGCAGCAGAGGGGACAAGGCTTCGTGCCTCCGGTTCGGTGCCTTTGCAGGGGTTGACAGTGGCCACCCCTCCAGCACCTTCGCTCACGGTGGCCCGTATTCAGATTTCTTTTCCTTCCTGGTATCTCAAGTTTTGTGGCAAACGGGTGAGCCGGATGCGAGGACAAGCTGCCAGGAAACATGTGTGTGCGAGGCAATCCCAGGTGTCAGGAGGCTTGTAGACACGGAGCCCTGTTTGCGATGCTGCTCCCGTTTCCACGGTGATTGAAGCAGGACAGAAAAACCAACCCCAGGCCGCTCAGCTCACAGAGCAGGAAGCTGCCCCCTCTCCTCCAGCTGCCGGCTCTCCGGTGGCTTTCAGAAGCCCAAAGGTGTCGTGCACCCTGTCCCAGCACCTGCCCCACCCCTACACCCGCCAAGAGCAGCGCCGAAGACCCCAGGCCCTGTGAGAAGGAGGGGGTCGGGCGAGAGAGAACTCGCGGGGCAAGGTGTCATCTGTGCAACATTTATTGTACTTGACAAGTGGGTCCCCCACCCACCCCCACCAGATCACACCTCCAGGAAAAAAGCTCAGGAGCCAAGTGGAGAGTTTTACAGACAAAGTGGGAGGGGACCGGGACAGCCCGGTGGCAGGTTGTCTCCGAAAGGCAGACTCATCCCTGAAAGCGTCGGGGGTGGGGCTGCGGCTGCCCTGCAGGCTCCGACCTGCCGCCCCCCCACAACTTCTGCCCTTGGGGCCTCTGCCATTCCCAACGGCAGAGAAAGTGGGCTCTACTCATCAGGTTGAAAACAAACACGGGTTTTTCTCCCACTTGACACGTTGCGTTCTCTGGTCCAGGCAAAGCTCTGGCCCAGAGACCTGGTGAGGTCACGGCAGCTGCCCCAGCTGCCACGGAGGCCAACCCACGGCCTCGTTCTGTCATCAGGCCCCCTGGGATTTGGGGACACGGCTGTCCTGAGGCTTAGTGACAGTCTGAGGAGCGACTCCTCCACGCGGCCTTGGTTACTGGGTATTCTCGTGTTTCAGGTACCGAATCAGCCTGCCCGGGAGGGGCAACGCATCCAGGAGTTTTATGCGGTGCTTTCCAACCACCTTCCGCACTTGCAGCCGGCACAGGTGAGCCAGGGGCCTCGGGAGTTCTGGGAAAGGGGAGAAAGAGAAGTGCCAGCGTGTCGTTTGCAAGCAGCAGAGTTTGCCTGTGACTGCTGGCAGGTAGGAGACACCCAATCGATACGACTGGATAAGAGGGCGGCGCCTGGACCCCACCACGCTCCGAAACCCCGGCCCCTGTCAGCTGAAAAGATCTGGCGAGGCAGCTCCCGCCTCGTCGCCCCTCATCGATCCGCACGGCCCAAGGCGGCAGCTAGGGCAGGTACAAACCCATTTCACAGGTGAGGACGTAGTGGGGGGCACACCTGGAGCCGGAGCTGCCAGCCCCCTCGTCTTGTCCTCCTTCCTGTATATACACAGCCCGGACCCCGCAACACAGTCTTAGCGAAGGGGTCGGGGAGTTCGACCTCTTAAGTGCCCCCATGCATGGAGTTAAGCTCTGAGCTCTGGCGGTGCAGACAGGCCAGCGTGGGGGCAGGGATGGGGCATCTCCCCACACGTCCCCAAATCCCACTTGGCTGCCGCCTCCTGGGAGGCCTCCCGGGATATCTCACACAGCGGAGTTTTCTCAGCTGAGGGGGAGGGGTGAGGTAGGAACAGGGGTTGATGTGTCTGGTGATGGGGCAATTTATTTCAGTCCTGGGCACAGGGTCTGGCACAGGGGAGGGGTTTGTTGAATCAAAGAATGCCATCCATTCACTCAACAAACACATGCTGACCCCTTGGCTGCCTGGCCCCGTGTTCCCGCCAGGGATGCAGAGGAACCAACCCAGGACCGTGGGGAAGGCTTCCACACCAGATGGTGCCATCTGAGCGGGGTCTTGGCGGGTGGGCAGGTATTTGCCAGGTGAAGAAGGGAGGTAGGGACATTCCAAGCAGGGGAAACAGCAACGCGCCGAGGCAGCCGTGGCCATCCCGGGAAGATCGGGATGCAGAGGGAATGTGGAAACAATGGCAGAGGGGCCAGGTGGCTCAAATGCCATCCAGATGCATTTCTGGCTGCTTGGTCTCGCTTAGGACAGAGCCTCCCCTCCGGGAAGCTCAGTCCCTTTCTCGGCTGAGTGAAGACTGAGTTTGTGAGGAGGAAGGCAAAAGGCCACTGGCGAGCAGAGGACAGGGCCGCTGGCCTGGCTGGCTTCGGAGACTCTGGGGTACCTGCCGCCTCTTAGAGCCTCTGTCCACCCTCCATCCGGTAAAATAATGTCACCATCACAGCATTAAACGGAAAAGCACGTGGAGAGTGTTCTGTAGATGGAGAGTGGGCTTTAAAGTTACCACAACAGGTGTTGGTTAAGAACTATTTGTACTACCTGCTAATAAATGTTTATAGCACACTGAAGGGTTCTGCCCATTTGTCCCTGGGACTAGGTCTCGAGAGCGATTACCCTTCTCTAGGGAGGGCAGAAGGGGACTGGGAGGGGTGGGGCCAACATCTAAGCAGGGACTGCTCCGCGGTCCTCTAGTGGCTGAGGATCACCGTGATAGCAGCCAATGATTCACGAACTCGGTGAATGTTTAGAGAGCCTCTAGAGCTGTGCCCTGGGTGAGTGGGCAAGTCACCACCACCCTCCGCTGTCGCTGCCCCAGTAACTCGATCAAGGGTCCAATGCAAGTGCTTCCCAGGCATTCGTGCAAATGAAAAATCCTACAGTGCGTTTGGGTTCATCGGGGCACGGGGATCAAGGAGGAAGGTGGCAAGGCAGAGGTGGGGCACTGCGGGCTGGGGCACCTGGACGGTCAGTGGACAGGCCACAGTGTTGCTCCCGGTGCGGTCTGTGGACCAGACCTGGGAGCACGCTGAAATGCAGCCCTGCCCCACACCTGCTGAGTCAGAATGTGCATTTTTAACAAAATGCCCGGGTGCTTTGTATGCACTTTACCGTTTGAAATGCCCGAGACCACTATTCCCTCCTCTACCCCGCCACACTACCTCAGTGGCCCACAAACATGGGCAACTTACTCTGAAAGTCCCGGTACCCCTCGGTGAGCTGGAGCCATTGAAAACGTGCTCGATTTGGCAAAGAGACCCCGGGGTTGGTCAAACTTAGGTTTGAATCCCAGACGCCACCAACTAGCGGGCAGACCCTGGCTCAGATGACGACATCATCTCTCTGAGGGCCAGTCTTCTAGTCACAGAACAGTCCTGGAGACCCTCTATGTGACACGCGGCACAGAGCTTGCCACATAGTAGGTGCTCGTTAAATGTCAGTAACAGTCACGTGCCCCGAGTCCTGGGCCTGAATCGGGCAGGGTGCCCCGCCAGCAGCAGCAGCAATGGCCCCTACCTGCCTTCTCCTTGATGACAGCCCAGTCCTCGAAGCTGTCGATGTGCTCCTTCAGCCGCGAGCAGAGATGCACATTGCCTACGTAGTCCAGGAGGACGTCGATGACGGGCCCCGCCCAGCGGCTCATCTCCGGGGCAGACAGGATCTCGCAGAACTGGAAGACATCACACACTGTGGCCGGGGCACCCGGGACCAAAGGCAGCGCCTCTGTGAGCACATCGGACGGGGGACCCGAGGCCGGGGAGAGCAGGGGTGTATGCGAGGACGGACACTGGGCACGCCCATGGCAGGATCCAGTTCTACCGGCCCTCGCCCCTCTCCTCAACACAGCCTCTGCTGCCACAAGCGGAAGGCGGGCAGCTGGGACATCACCTCTCTAAGCCTCAACTTCCTTGTCTGGAAAATGGGACTATGACAACTGGAGGGTTATTTTTTACGAGAATTAAGGTAATGTGAACATCACCTTCTTTGCACGCAGCAAGTGGCCCTGCAATGATTCCCATTAACCACTACGTTGATCTCCAAGAGAAGGGTGTTTCTCACCTCCTTTTCATTTCAAGTTCGGACTTTTTAAGTCACCACCACGGCCACGTCCTGCCTCTGGGTCCCTCTTTGCACCTCGTCTGCTCTTAGCCAATCTGCTCTCACCTCCATCCCCATCGGGGTCATTCAACATCATATTCCGGGCGCAGGTTTGCTGTGGGTGATGAACCCCTCAGTCTCCCACATTCCCCTGCTCCGCTGTTGTTTCCTTAAATCCCCCCAGACGGGGAAGCAAACAAAGGACGCAACCCGTGCACGGGAGCCACTGAGCTCTGCTGCCTCTGAAGCACGCCGGCCACGGGGTTCCACGGCCTGCGGGGTGTGCGGACCGCGATGCCCCCCCCCCCCCCTGCCCAGGCTCCTAAGGGCATCCGCCATCAGGCCACCCTGGCGCGTGCTGGGCCTGGGAAGCGCGCCCCTGCCTACCTGCACCACGCCGGGCGCCTTATCCGTGGCGGGCGCGTCGCTGAAGCGGCTGGAGGGCGGCGGGACGGGCGGGTGCGGGCCGTTGCCGTACAGGCACGAGAAGCAGGGCTCGCCGTCGCAGCCGAGGTCCATGAGGAACTTGAGCAGCGACAGGTACTTCATGGCGAACATGATGGTGGCGGGGAAGGCGGTGGGGTGCGTGGCGATGTAGGCGTCGATGTTGGCGCCGTGGTCCAGCAGCAGCTGCATGGTGCGCAGGCAGCCGTGGCGGATGGCCACGAGCAGGGGGCTGATGACGTCGCGGTTGGGGTCGGCGCCGGCGAGCAGCAGCAGCTCGGTGGCGTACACGTTGTTGTTGACCACGGCGAAGTAGAGCGCGGAGCTGCGGCGGTCCTCGTAGAGGCGCGCGCGCTCGGGCGCCAGCGGCGCGTTCACGTCGAAGCGCGCGCCCAGCAGCGCCTCGAGCACCGCGTCGTGGTTGCGCTCGGCCGCCAGGTGCAGCGGGCTGATGCCGCTCCGGCGCACGCGCGTGCGGCTGGTCACCGGCAGCAGCATCTGCACGATCCTGCGGGTGGGGCGGGCAAGCCGGGGTCACGGGGCGGCCCGGCCGGCAGGGGGCGTCGAGGGTCCAGGCCGGGCCGCTGGGGACTACCGTGTGAGGAGGCAGTGGCCCACCAGCGGGGGGCGCCGGGGAGCCAGCCGGTCCCACATTGACCGCTTTGGGAAGGACGGGTCTGCGGCTATCCCCGCTTTGCAGATCAGGGAAACTGAGGCTCCGAGAGCTTCGACCATCTTCCCGAAGTCACAGAACCAGAAAGGGGTGGAGCTAGGCTTCACTCTCAGAACCCATGGCCTCCGAAGTCCTACCTCTGAAAGATCTCAGCCCGACTGGCCTGTGGTTTCAAGAATTTCCTGCTGACTTATTTCAGGTTAAAGAGTGTTCCCCATTCCCAACTCATTCCCTGAAGGAATGGACCGGAAGGCCCACAGACCTGATGCAGGAGGCAGTGGAGCCCGTAGTGAAATTTGGAGCTAGAAGTTTGGCACCTGCCCTGCCTGGGTGGGGCGGGGGAATAGGGGGACAGTGACAGTCCTATCCCAGAGCTCACAGCGTCCCAGGAGACAACTAAAGGATTTACAAACACAGTTTGGTTTAATCTTTTCCACAACCCATAAAGTCCGTCTCATCATTCCCATTGTGCTGATGAGAAAGCTGGAGGCTCAGAGAGGTTGACGGGCTTGTCCAGGCCGTGTATCGGGAAAGGCAAACCAAGAAATGTACCCCCTTCCTGCCCCAGGGCTGCGCCGTCCTGCATCTCTGTGGAGCCGCCAGGTCCTGGGGGACAGGAGCGGATGAATGTATTTGGCGTGGACCACTCCTGCGCTCGGCCCTGGTCAGCCCTTGGTGACCACAAAGTCCCTTCCCCTCTCCTGTGAGTCTCAACACCTCTTTCCCTGAAGCCTAACTCGAGTCTCTCCCAGGCTGTCTGCCTTGCCTGTGGCCTGGAGAGGGTTGGTCAGGTACTGCTGAGGCTGGAGATTCCTGTGATCCCTGGCTTTGCTCTCTCCTGAATCAGACACTGCTCTTAACATTTCATCTGCATTCATCTATTATATCTTCCCAGTAGCCCTGTGAGCTAGTACGTGTGCTATCTTAGTTTACAGATGAGGAAACAGAAGCCCAGAGAGGGTATGTGACTTGCACAAGAACACACAGCCAGTCAGTGACGGAGCCAGGGTTTGAACCTAGGCAGTCTGATTCCCCAGGCCACACTCTCGACCCCTGCCGTACGTCTTGTGTCGCAGGCAGGGTGACAGCTGATAGGTCACAGAGTTTGGCGTCACCGCGCATTAACTTGCCTGCCCCAGTTTACCTTCACTGCAGCCCTGTGGGATAGCCTGAGGTCTGTGACCTTCCTTTTGACAGATGTGATTCAGAGAGAGGAGGCAACTCATCAAAGGTAGTAAAGCAATTCTGGGGGCTCTTGACCCCTTGTATTACTCTCTTCCCCTAGACCACTGCCACCTGCAAGAACGAGCTTCCACCACTGACCCCAATCCATCCAACCCTTGCTGACAGGTGACTTCCCAGCCCCATGTGGCCACCAAGGAGGTGGCCGTGGTGAGGCAAGCAGGTGCCACCAGGCCTGTTCCCATGCCTCTCAGCCTCCTGGCATGCTGGCTTTGCGGCTTCCTGGAAATCTCATGCCAGTGATCTCCTGCTAAGATCTCAGCGGAAAGTATTATTATTGTTAGTGACGCCGTGTTTGCCTAAAATCTGCCCCTAAAACCTCAAAAGGAAATTCACACACCCAGGGGGGCTAATTGCCTCCTAATTTCTATTTGTGCAGGCGCAGGAGGCCTGACCTCACTCTGTAGAGGTGCTGGTCAAAGGCAGGGCTGGGGCCTCGCCCTGGACCACAGCCATCGCCAACAAATGCTCCCTAACAGCCGTGGCATGCCCAAGCCCGGGAAAGAACAGCGAGAAGAGACTGCCCTGGGGCCGCTGGCCAGATGGGGCTGGCATCCCCGGCAGGTCACAGCTGGCCTCCAGCAATGCCCTGCCCAACCAGGGGAAAGCGGCAGGAATGTGGGAACATGACTAGCGTCGCCTACAGTCCCAGAAACGTCATCCTAATAACACAATAAAGTCATCTTAATGTACGCTTCCGTAGGACTTCACAGACTAACTAATATGCCCTGCAGGACGGGGTCTGGAGATCAGCCTGTCCAGCCCTCCCATTTTATAAGGGGTGAAACTGAGGCCCCGGGCATGGGGTGAGGAAGAGGGTGAGATTGGATTGGAGGCGGATGACAAAGCCAGGGCAGAATGTAGGTGTCCAGAATTCACAAGGCCAGGCCTTTCCGTGATGCCTCACTCCCCCAGCCCCAGGGAGTGCCCGCCTTGGTGGCCCTGCCACAAATCATCACTCCTTTTCCCCAGCCCGTGTTGTGGGACAGAGGGCTGGAGGATGAGGTGGTGACCCCATTGATCTGAGTCTCTCTGCTTCTCGCACAGGCAGGTCCTGGGGCCACAGGGCTCAAAGTGTACCTCCTGAAGAGGAACAAAGCTGACCACGGCCCACTAGAACCTTTGGTGTCTGGGAGGCCAGGTTCCCTGTGCGCCCCCCCCTTATCCCTTCCCTGGGGCAAGAGCCACACCCACCAGCTTAAGCCCTGAGACCAGACCAGACCCAGCTCAGGGCTATTTCAAGGAGGCTTACCAGTCACAATAACTACCCCCCCCCCCCCCCCCTGGTTTCGAGGACCCACCAGTAAACGAATCCAACTTTCTCTGTCCCAGACAGCCTCACTGTCTTTTCTCCAGGCCCCGGGTCCCCACCCAGGATTCTGTGTCCTCAAGGCTGCTGCCCTGGTTCCAGGGTCCTGCCTGAATTTTAGCCCAGTGATAGGGAACAGAGCAGAGAGCTTCGAGTCAAAGCAAGCTGCCCCTGGCGGTGTGGGGTCCCACATGGGGCTGTGGACCTGGGTTACACCACCGGTGTCGTCTGTCAGTGCTGGGCCATCTCAGGCCTGTCACTCAACCTCTCTGAACCACGTGTTTAACAGGGAGGTAATCACAACAAGAGTGATGGTGACGATGGTGACGATGATAGCTGCCCTTTAGGGAGCCCCTGTGAATTGTTGGGAGCACCCCACCCTCCTAAATAATATTACTGAGCATTTGCTCTGTGCCAGGCACCATTCAAGGTACTTTACTCACTGACCTCATTTATCCTGGAAATGACCGTATGAGCTAAGGACTTTATCGCATTCACTCGTCGTAACAACCCAGCAAGGTGGGATCCCTCTGCCCCGGTTACAAAACACAATTCGCTGATACCTTTCCCTGAGGCTGGTCTTCAGGATAAAATGAGATCACTCGAGTAGTAGGGACCCCATAAACGGTGGCCGTTGGTGTCTTGACCACCGTGGTGACTGCAGCCCACTTGCCCTGCACACGCAGCACGCGGGCATTCTGGGTCACAAGATCACGGTGGAGTGACCTTTGTCAGCGTTGGGTGTAATTTGATTGCGGACTAGACCTTCGCAAGGGAGCCAGTCACCCACAGATGGCTCGGCTGCCAAAACCACCGGGCTGCACTGTGGTGACCCTGCCGTGTGTGTATGTGTGTGTGTGTGTGTGTGTGTGTGTGTGTGTATTTTGGAGGGGAGAGACTGCCTCTTCTCTGAGCCCAGGTGATGCTCATGCTGAGCCAGAAAAGACTCCACCAGTGGAGGAATCTGCCTGTGGACATTCCCAAGGGCACAGCAGGACTCTTGCCCGCGAGGGACCCTTCTAGGTGGATGTGTACCTCTTGTCCCGAGGTACTAGGAGCTGGAGCAGGGGTGCAAACCGCCAGCTCTCCATCAGGACTCAGAACAGCTCAGCGGATCCCCACGATGCAGACTTCTGGGCCCTGCCATCCAGGGCCTGATTCAGCTGGTCTAGGGAGGAGCCCCAGAGTCCCCTTTTAATTAATAGGGATACTAACTTGCTTGTGAATGTGCCTTACAGTCTGCCTTTTAATTTAATGTATTTCGTGTTCTCTATCCTCCCTTTTTCCAAAAAGAAAAAAAAAAAAGTTTTAAGCGGCTTGCAAATGTGATAGAGATTAGAAGCAAAGGAGAAAGAATAAAGACAAGGGCATCAGAAGCGAGGCCCAAAAGGCAAGTTATATACCAGCGACAAAATGCACCCTAAAAGAATGGTTCTGTCTCATACTGTGCGGTGAAATCGTCTGGGCAGCTTTTAGAGACCCTGAAGGCCCAGCCCAGCCGGCTTCTATCAGAATCTCTGGGGTGAGTGAGGCCCAAACATCAGGGTTTTCAGAGCCCTTTAGTGGGGTGCGGGTGGGGCTCCAGTATGTAGCCAAGACTGAGACTCTCTGCTCTTAGTGCTATTCTAATTCAGTTTGAAAGATGTCTGGGGCACCTGGTCTTGTCCAACACAAACCATTTCTTAATAGATCTGTCTTTGGTGGGGTGCCTGGGTTGGCTCCGTGGGTTAAGTGTCCAACCCGCTTCGGGCTCTGTGCCGACAGCTCAGGGCCTGGAGCCTGCTTCGGATCTTGTGTCTCCCTTTCCCGCTCGTGGTCTGTCCCTCTCTCTCAAATACAAAAACATAACAAAAAAATTTTTTAATCTATCTTTGGTGTTGAGCTTTAATCTCATAAGGTGACTTTGCTAAACTGGAAATGAAATAGAAGATAAAGCCTCTGGTTAAATGTGCTACAGAGATGGCATCATCTGGCGAGCACAGAGACCAGCTACTGGGCTCTGCTTTCCATGCTATAGGTGGGCAGAGCGTTTTGGCAGGTGGCTGAGAGCGGAATGCCCATGGAATGTCACATCAAATCCCTGAGCGGCTCATGGGAGGTCAGCGCGGAGAGGGCCATTAATGCCACATGCCCAAGGAGTGAAGTGCCCGGGACTTGCCTGGCCATGGGCCCTGCGGCAGAAGCTGCTGGGAACACGGCTTTAAACCTTTGTTGGGCAGCCCTCAAAAAGGGCCTGGCTCCTCTCAGTCTTGGGGAGCAGAGGGAAATGGGGCCTGGGAATGGAGGGTGGGTAACCAGGGAGATCGCTCTGAGAGTCATGAATCCGAAGCAGATTTGGGGGGAACACAAACTGTCTATATGGGTGGTTCCGGAGAGGACCCTCCTTGCTCCCTAGTCATCCTTAGGTGCTCCTTCAACCTCTCCTCCAGCTGGGGCCAGACTGCCAACATCGGGGTCCACTTGAGGCATCTGGGTGTGATCGAAGGATGCCGAGGGACAGTCCCCGCCCTGCCACTCTCTGGCAAGCCACTTCCCGTCTCTCTCCTCTACAAAATCAGGAGTTGTATGAGATCAGCGATTCCCTCAAAGGTGTAGATGGGCTGTATCTGGTCTTCTCAGGGAGCTTTTCAAAAATGGAGGCTTAGCAATCCCCCCTCCCTGCCCCCGCCCCCACCCCCGAAGATTCTGGTTTAGTGGTTCTGGGATTTGTCATTTAACAAATAGCCCAGAATGACTGTGCTCTACAGGCCAGTACAGGGATCCCGTGGGCCTGGAGATTCCAGCCCCTTCCTTCTCTTGCATTCTTGGGATCTCTCTCTCCAAGATAAACCACGTTTGTTTCCCGGGGCAGAAGGGAAATAACGTGTCTTGCCTGTCACCACTGCCTGACTTGGTGCTTTCTCCCGTCTCTTGGCTTCACTAAAAACTGAAGGCTCCTCCAACCTGGGAGAGAGTGAGCACAGACCTACTGGGTCCCTGCTGTGTGCCTGGCACTCTGCTGGGCACTTTATTTCCACTCCATAAGCCACATATATCCATTGCACCAGTCCTAACAGCAACCCCATGAGGCAGCTGTAACTATCGCCCATTTTACAGAAGAGGAAAACCTTTCTGAGGTTCAGAAACATGCCCCATGGCTTCAGCAGGGATTCAAACCCAGGTCCCTGTGACTTGCAGCCTGCCCTGCAGTCCAGAGAAGGCAGGGTCTCCTCTGTGGGGGCAGACTGGGTGGAGAGGGCATCTTTGGGTGGCCTTAGGTACAGACGGCCTGCACAGCAGGGCCTGGGGTGGGGGTCCGTCTGTCCGTCTCCACTTCATTCTCTGGGATGTCACTCTCACCCCCTTCTCCCTCTGCCTCAGCAAACACAGCCAACACCCCCACCAACGCACACAGTCTGTGTTTTCCCCTCTTCTCTCTGTCTGATGGCAGGCTGTGTTTCCCAGAGTGTGTCGTCTGGGGTACACGGGATGGAATTTTATGTACAAAGCTTTTTTTTTAAATCAGTTGTAAATTGGCAACTTTAGCAATTTAGTAGTGTGATGGATGTTTCCTTCTGAAAACAGATTTTCGGTAAACATGTCTTCAGAAGAAAATACTCAGCAATGAAGGTAGAGACGCCTGAGATCAGGAAGGAAGTCTGTGAACGAAGTTTGGAAAATGCTAGCTGAGTGGCAACTGCCGAGCCCCGGCGTCCTTCAAATGCAGCTGGGGGTCTCTTGCCTCCTTGGAGAGTCTTCTGTGACCCCACCAGCTGGAGGTGGTGCACGTTTAACAACTGGCTCTATGGGGAGCAAAGGGGGCCCTGATATGTTGTAGCCAGCAATTTCCGTGGTGTAAACATTACCACCATGGCCAACTTCAGGCTGCCCGTGTGCACAGTCGGCTCCTGTGAGCGGGTTCGAGTCGGCTCTAGCGCACCTCTGCCTCTGGGCCCCCTGAGTCCCTCTCCTGCAGGGCTGCTATGGAGCCCAGCTCTCCACACTCTTCCATTATGTCATGAGTTCGTGTGTGTGTGTCTTCCCTCCCCCGAGATCACTCCCGGAGAACTTAAGCTTCTCTCGTCTTAATCCAAGTGTGCAGCAGATAGTAAGTGCTCAATAAAGCCTAGCTACTATCATTGGCACTGTCTGTGTTATTGTATCATTGGCACTATTCAGATTATTGGATGTATCCCCTACGTGCTTGCTAACAGCCTGAGAGGCTATCTTTTTCATTTTTATTTTTTTAAGTAGGCTCCATGCCCGGCGTGGGGCTTGAACTCATGACCCTAATTTCAAGAGCTGGATGCTCTACCGACCGAGCCGGCCAGGCACCCCCTCAGAGGTTACGTTTGCACCCCCAACAGAAATATCCCTTGGCCCCGACTCCTATCCTTCCCCCTGAGTGCAATTCCCGTAGAAGCGACTTTTGTAGTGGGTCAGTTCTCGCCGCCTGCAAGATGTGTGACCTCGGGCAAGTCACTTGACCTCTTTGTGCCTTAGCTTCCTCGTGTGATGCAATGGAGGTAAAGGCATCTACCTCCGGAGACGTGTTAAAAGGATTGTTAACAGTAGTCAGAGGGTGAAGAAGGTTAATCAGGCGACGCGCTCGAGCTTGCCGACTACTGGGGCGTCTTCTCCTTTCCACCTGGAAGGCACCCTCCACCCTGACCCCTCCTGAGCCCCCCTGGTCCCGTGGGCGGGACGCTCGCGGCCCCCGCTCCAGCGGCGTGGGTGAGGCGGGGAAGCCGCGAGCATTGGTGGCCGGGCCCCGGGCTGACCTGTAGTTGCCCTTCTTGGAGGCGATGTGCAGCGGGAGCATGCCGTCCTTGTTGGCCTTGTTGGCATCGGCGCCCTGCGACAGCAGAAACTCCACCACATCCTCGTGCTCGTTCTTGCAAGCCTCGTAGAGGGCGGACGCGCAGTCGCTGGCCTGCGTGTTGATGTCGGCGCCTGGCCAAGGAGAAGGCGGATCAAGGAGTGACCAGGGCGGTCACTGTCAAGCACGGTGCCAACCGCCGTGGCGCATTGGATCATGTAACAACCACCCTGCGACCCTGAGACTGGGGGGGGGGGGGGGCGCTCTCGGAAATGAACAGCTGCCTCGCTGCTGCAGGCATTTCCTGAGCACTTACTACGCGCCAGGCACCCTGCCGTAGGGGAGCTCTCTCTCTTTGCATCCGCAGCGTCACTCCGTGCAGTCAGTCACAACTCTTACGTGCGTGTTGCAGACGAGGACACTGAGCACAGAGGACCCACGCAACTTGCCCCAGGCCGCTGGGGTCATAAGTGTGGAGCCCAAACCTGAACCCCGGGGGGTCTGACAGCGGAAGCCCCGGCAGCTGGTCTGATGGCAGAGGCCATGCTCTTCCCCCTCGCTCCATGTGAAAGCATCCAGACCCTGTTCTGAGGAAGCCACCAGCTCTAGGAGTGCAGAGCCCCCTAATAAAGAAAGACCCCAAGAACCGCCTTAATTGGGATTTGTCCTCCTCCGCCCTCCATCGCAAGGAATACGAGAGGGATTGCTTCCTGTCCCCTCTGAAGAGGGCACTACAGCCTGCTGAGAGGTAAGGACTCGGGGACAGACCCTATCAGCCTCATTTACAACTTCCCCATCTCCTTCTCACAGCCCCATGGGTTTCCCTGAGAAAAGAGGTACGGTCTCTTCACCAGTCCCTCCGTATTCTGGAAGGAAAGCGGGCTGAGACAGCAGGAAAGTGTCAGTAAGGGCCGAAGTCAAAAGCATCCGTTAACCACAGCTCTGCTCTGCCCGGGCATTCTGCTTATCTCAGGCTTTCTGGTACTTTTCAATTTTGGTAACTGATTTCTGGTCTAGTGGAAAGAGACGAGAACTAGCTGCCGTTTCTTTTCAGGGCTTGCAAGCCCTGTGGCCTCGGGCAGCCCCTAGGGGCCACACTTTTCCCATCTGTAGACCAGGAAGAATAATGCCTACCAGTCCGTGTTGCCTTAAGAAGATAAAACATGTTACTATCTGCTATGGACTGGATGTTTGTGTCCCCTCAAAATTCCCAGGTGGAAACTTGATCCCCAGCGCGATGGTGTTAGGAGGTGGGGCCTTTGGGAGGTGCCCAGGTGACGAGGGTGGAGTTGTCATGAGTGGGACTAGTCCCCTTATAAAGGAGACCCCAAAGAGCTGCCTTGCGCCTTCCACCACGTGAAGACCCAGGGAGAAGGTGGCCATCTGTGAACTAGGAACAGGCTCTCACCAGACACCGAATCTGCCGGCACCTTGATCTTGGACTTCCCAGCCTCTGGGACCGTGAGAAATAAATAAGCACCTGAGGCTGTAAGCCCCTCGGCGTATGGTATTCTGTTACAGTGGCCCAAACAAACTAAGACAATCTCCCTGCACAGTGCTGGACACAGAGAAGGTACTCAGCAAAGGCCGGTTCTCCAGCACGGAAGGGCTGGGGCACAGAGGCTGGTTCTGCCCCCCCACCCTGAGGGAAAGCCAGTGAACGGGTCCAAGCTCTTGAAGTCAGGCCCCCTGGAAGCCTGGACCCCGCCAGCAAAGCCGCCCGCTCTCACAAGAAAAATATTTGGCCTTAAAAATGGACTCAGCCCACAAAGGGAGCGAGACCCTGACTCAGACTGTCGGCAGGAGAGCTGGACAGATGTTCAGAGTTGGCCGGTTCCCCTTGCCGGCTGAGCACCCTGCCCTTTGCCCAGTCTCCTTGCCCGGGGTTCCCAGGACCCTGCCCGTGCTCCTTTGTTCTCATGCGGGTCGGCCCAGATTTGTCCCTGGCTGCAAGGAAGGGCCCTGGGTTTGTTTTCTCAACTGCTCAGGCGCGTGCTGAGTAAGTGGATGTTTATCCAAGCAAAGTCCCACGATGGCAATTCTCGAGGCCTGGGGTAGCATGGCAAGTGAAGAAGCGTGCAGTCTGGAGTCAAATGCGTGTGGTTGGAACCCAGGCTCTGATGTGAGCAACCATTTCACCTCTCTGAGCCTCAGTCTCCTTATCTACTGAATGGGATGAGGACACTCTCCACCTCGTACGGCTATGGAGAAAACCCCATTAGCCTATCCCGTGCTCGCGCTTAACACAGAAGGTCCTCAACCAATTACTTCAGCTCAGCCCGAGGGTCTGGCTTGCTCCTGGCCTCTCTGTCGGGAGGGAGGGAGGTTCACCTCCCGCAGAGAGAGAAAAGAAATCCAAGGGGTTCTCTCGGGGAAGAACGGAATGACAACACCCTTTAGTCAGAACAATGCCTCCCGTTGTCCCGGGGTCTTCTGTTCACGATGCGGGCAACATTGTTTTATTTTCTCCCGATAACGTGACTAAGATTTTCCACGGGCAGAGAGTGCCAAGACCCGGGTTCGAATCCCAACTCCTCCACTACTTCGTGGCGAGACCTTGGACAAATCACTTGCCCATCCTGGTCCTCGGTTTCATCACAGGTACACTGAGGAGGTGACCTAAATGCTGTCTGAGGTTCCTCCTGGCCTTGAGGTGTGATGTGGGTGGAAAGAGTAGTTGAAGTGTCAGGAGACCCGGGGTCTGGCTTGTTCCACCACCAGTTTGCTACGTGACTGCAAATAAGTCACGTCCCCTTCCTGGGCCTCCGATTCCGCGTTCGTAAAATGAGGATGTTGGGCTAGATTAGCGACGGCACGTGTTTCACGCCATTCCTCCCGCCCCGGCCTGTGCCTCGTTGCAGGCGTCGCTGGTGGATCTCAACACGCTTCCCACCGAGCTTCCACACAGCCTCAGATCCCTTCTCAACACAGGCCTCCAAGAGGATGCTATTCCCAGGTCAGAGTATGACCTAAGCTTGCCTCCCCTTAGACGTCTGAGGTCCTCCCCGGCGCTGCCCCTCGGGGGCTACGTGACCCGGGGACCCTTAGCACTCACCGTACTTGGCCAGGAACCTCAGGGCCTCCAGCTGCCCGCTCTGGGCGGCCACGAACAAGGGGGTGATGCCATAGGCATTCTTGGATTCCACCTTGGCGCCTCTGCTCACCAGGATCTCCATGACCTCCAGGTCGTTGCGAGAAACAGACTCGTGCAAAGCGGTCCAGCCTCGGTTGCAGCGATGGTTGGTGTCCGCGTTGTACTGCACCAGCATCCTCACCGCCTCCGCGTTCTTGCGCTCACAGGCTGCAGCCCAGGCACAAAGAAGCGAGGTGGTCAGCAGGGCCCTGGCCGGACCCGGCCGGCTGAGACTTCATTCATTTATTTGTCCATTCACCCGTTCGTCCGCCAGACGTTCCGTCAACAGACATCCACTGGGTCTGTCCCGAGTTCCAGTCCCTGCACTACCCAGGATGCACACCTAAAATAACAGTCCTACTCATAGCAGTAATATTTGCTGGTGTATGTAGCACAGATTAGGTGGCAGGCACTCTGTTCAAAGCACTTTCTGGGCCCCTCCAATATAATTCTCCCAGTCACCTATAAAGGATGTAGTGCTATCACCCCCCTTCCAACAGAGGAGGAAAATGAGGCACAGAGACGTTAAGCGACTTGCCCAAGGTCACACAGATAGTGGCAGAACAGGGATTCAAACTCAGGCAATCAGGCCCAGCGTCTCTGTCCCTTGGAATGTTCCAGGGTGTCCCTGACTCCTCTCCCTCTCCAGCGCTACAGGCTGCAGTCCTCTACATCACCAGAGCCAGGAGAGGTGGAGGGTCCCAGAAGCCCTGCTCAAAGCCCTTCCTCAGGCTACACGCTTAAACTGAGGTAAAAATCTGTCTTCTGCGTACAAGACAAAGTCTTGTCGAGTCTTCTCGATCTGCTCACACCTCCCTCTTAAGCCTCATTGCTTTCTATTTTTTATTTTTTTTAATGTTTATTTATTTTTGATAGACAGAGACAGAGCACAAGTGGGGGAGGGGTAGAGAGAGAAGGAGACACAGAATCCGAAGCAGGCTCCAGGCTCCCAGCTGTCAGCACAGAGCCTGACACGGGGCTCAGACTCACAGACCGTGAGATCATGACCTGAGCCCAAGTCGGATGTTTAACGGACTGAGCCACCCTGGCGCCCCAAGCCTCATTGCTTTCTAGAACCTAGATGCACTGTTGGCTCTGGTCCAGGGTTATCACCAGGGAGGCTGCTGGGCTCTTGTCTAAATTTACCACTTCTTCGAATCAGGCAGGGGTGAGGGCAAGAAGAGAAAGGGGGCTTCCTGGGTAGTGTTTCAAACAGCACCCCAGGCAAAGCTCCCCACCTCTCGAAGCCTTGGTTTTCTCGCCTGTCAACCAGAGATTATAAAACCTTCCTGAGAGGACCTTGTGAGAGTACTGGGTGACGGAGTGCATGGAACACTCTAGCGCAGTGCTTGGCACGTGCACTCAGCACCAGGGCCCAAGCCTCGGCTGAGAATTGCCCAGTGCTCGGGAAGCTCCCTTTGGGCAGCTCGGCCTCTAGGTGATGGCTCTGGTGCCTGGGCAGACACGACTTCTGAGAAACACTTCCATCTCAGGTCTACAGTGGACCCAGTTACCAGCTGCCAGGCACCTGCTTCCCGTGGAATATTCCAGGTACTGGATACCAGTCACACGGGAAAGCAGGGATGTCTGTTGTTTTTCAAAGTGTAAAGGCCCTCTCATATTTGTATGTGCAAGACCCAAGCCTGATTGCTTAAGCCCGTGGGCATGAACTGGACGCTTTATAATGTCATAGTTCAGCATACGAACTGTGAGGCAGCTAGCTTGCTGAGTTTAAATCCCAGGTCTGCCCCTTGCTAGCATATGTGAAATCCTGGGTGCCTCATTTCATGTCTCTGTGCCTTAGGTCCTCATCTATAACATGGAGATACCTCCCATGTAATGCCCGTCTCCTATGTAGATGGATATTAGGGTTAAATTGAAGAACAGTGCGTGGCACAGAGTAAACACTCAGTAAATACCAGCTATTACGATGATTCAGATTTTGCTAGAGATGCCAGTGTCCTTGGGTGATGTACTGAATGAGCCAGGCTAAGTTTCTGGTTTGTTTTAAATGTCCCAGAGGTACAGATTTTCTTTCATACCTCTTTGCCTCTGCCTATGCTGTTCCCTCTGCTTGTCCAGCTGGAAACAGCCTCCTGTTCCAGCTCAGCTCCGACGCCCCCTTTTGTGGGTGCTCATCCCCAACGCTAGAGCCCTCCCTGATGCCCCCGGGTGCATCATGCCGAGCTCTTTGTTGCCTGGCTGTTATGTTGTCTGTGTGTCGCTGCCCACTGGGCGGGGAGAGCGCTGGGGCACCGATCATAGCTTTTTGTTTCTGGGCCCTCAGCGCTCCTCGGCGTGCCGGGCCCACAGGAAGCCTTGGGTAGCGTGGCCCGTAGACATCCGCCCTTCACAGGAGACCCCTGGCTGGGGAGAAGGGGGGCTAGGGAGGGAGTTAGGCACTTTGGGAGCAATGTTCCCAATTGCCCACCTACCCTCTGGACCCTTCCCCAGGGAAGCCCACTGTGGGGGGGGGCTCACCTTTGTAGAGCGGGGTCTCTCGGGACTTGTTGGAGATGTCAGGCTCGGCGCCAGCCTGGAGGAGGGATTGGAGGCAGTCCAGGTGTCCCCTGCACGTCGCCAGGTAAAGGGCCGTTTCCTCCTGCAGGGTGCGCTGGTCGATGACTGCAGGGTATGCTGGGGAGAACAGACAGGGAGTTCGTGAAGGGGGAAGACGCTCCCACCTTCCCAACACACAGGTGGCCCCGATTTCTGCCCAATTCCAACGACAGACATGTGTGGCATCCACCTAAATATACCATCCATCCTTTGGCCCTGGACTCCGTTGCTCTCACGGGGCTGTTTCAGCTTTCCACTTGTATTATCTCAGCTTAGATGCTACCTCCTCTGGGAAGCTTTCCCTGGTTGAACCCCTCTCCGTCTCTGAATGACCCTGTCCTTTCCCACCAGCCACGGCCAGAAGCTCCGTCTCCTACAACTGGTTCTGCCCTAGCGTATGGCGGGCTGTCTGGGGCTCATGCTCCTTCAGGGCAGAGGTAAGTCCTGTCCGCAAGTGTTACCTTATCCACATCTGGCTCGGGGGCAAGGCGAGGCTCCGAGAGGAGGCATGATTTGCCCAGGTTCCCACAGCTGTGGGGGACAGCCTTGGCGGGGCATAGGCACAGCTGCAGTATTTTCCACACCACATCAGCCCCTGGAACATTCTGGAACAAGCTGGTAGTGGCTCTCCCAAAAGTCAGCCCTCCCCCACTCCTTTTCTAGGAATTAGGCTCTGCTGTCCTGAAAGGCCCAGAGCGGTGGCAGCAGGGTGGGTGGGGACAATCCACTTTTCTCTCCCAGCGTGGTGACTTTAACTCTGCCACGGGGGTAAGAATCTTGCCTCTCACCCTCCCCCTGCCCAAGACAGTTGACGCTCTGGAAAAGAAGGAGCCCCACCCCCAGTCCTGTTCCCAGCCCTGGCTGCACCCGGAGCTGCGGCCTCACCTTGCTGCAGGGCCTTGAGGCAGCTCAGCTGGCCGTAGTAGGCCGCCTCATGCAGCGGCAGCCAGCCCTCCTTGTTGGGCTCTGCGAGGTTCTTGCCTGCCTTGATCATAGCCTTCAAGGCCTCTTCATCACCTTCCTTGATGGCCTTCAGCACTGGGTCCACAGGCCTGTGACAGCAAGGGGCGGGGCACTCCTCAGGATCCAGGCGGCAGAGGAGGGGCGGGCCGCTTTTCTCCCCACAGGGAGAGGGAACGCGGGGCTGCTGGTGGCCGGGGGCAGTGCTGGCTGTGGGACCACTCGGTCCTGCTTGGCCCCTGCTGGTCTGGAACAGGTGCTCAGCCCCCTGCCGGCAGTGTCCTCCTCAATAAGGAGAATAATCCTTCCTAAACCACATGGGCGTGCCCTGGAACTCAGCCCCGACCTTGGCCCTGACCTTGGCCCCTCTGGCGTATCCATCCACCAGCTATCCATCACAGCTTCCTCAGGCCTGTCAAGCGCGGCCCGCAGGCCCAGGTCAGCCTCTCCCTGCCTCCGGTCCTAAGCCCTCATGTAACCACTGGCCTTTGCGTGTCTCTGAACAGTTATTTGATGCTATCTGTGTCCCCCGCTGGACTATGAGTCCCAGGAAGACAAGGACAGCACCTTTATTTCTTCCATCTCTCATGATTTCATTCTCAGGGCCTAGCTCAGTGTCTGGTCCATAATAGGTACTCAGTAAATATTCAAAGGAAAGAAAGAAAGAAAGAAAGGAAGGAAGGAAGAAAGAAAGAAAGAAAGAAAGAAAGAGGCAGAGAGGAAAGGAAGGAGAGAAAGGAAGAAGGAAGAGGAAGGAAGGAAGGAAGGAAGGAAGGAAGGAAACTTCCAGAACCAAACGATTATTTCACTCCTTCATCTCTTCTATTTCCTTCCATTTCCAAAAAGATGACCTCTCCCCTACTAGCATTTTGCTTGCTTCTTTGGGAATTTTATTTGTATCTTGTTCAAAACATTCTTTGCAACGGCCTCCTTTGTGCATTTGGAGGACAAACTCTCCTATACAAGTAAATGTGGGGGCTCCGGTCGAGCCTTGCCAGTGTTTGGTCCCCCTGCGAGCAGCCCAGGACCCGGGGTCCTTCCACGCCTTTATCTCCAAGTGGGCACCATGTAGGGAAAGTCTACGACACATGGCAGGCTCGTTCACTTCCACAGATGGAAACTGAGGGTCTCTTTTAGACGAGGCTCCTTGGTGGCCAAAAGAAAATTAGGGAAGGAAGCCCTCTGTCCCTGCGCCTTGCAGGGCTGCATTTAATGTTACACCGAGACCATGTCTACCAAGAGGATTCGGGCAGACAGTGCCGGCCCCCAGACGGATGGATAACTGACCCCGTGGGAGCTGTTTCAGTGCAGTGTGCTAGCGCTTACCGGGAACCTTTGGGGCCAGTTTGCACATCAAGCAGCTCTGAGACCAGAGTCCCTCAGAGGGGGGCTCTTTCCAGTGAGCATGTCTCTGGGGTCTTCCCTTCCTTGTTCCTCACCCTTTACCCTCACCCCTAGAAGCTTTAGCTGCTGAAAGACTTCCATCCTTGAAGGACTAATACATGTGAAGTCTGCACAGTCTTAAACTTCTGAATGTCCGAGAGATTTCAGGGCTACTATGAATGACTTCACTCATGCATTCATTCATTCATTCATTCACTGAGCTCCCTTCCCTCCACCCTTGCGTCAGTGAGGACCAGGACAGCTGTGAGTCCCAGACCCACTCCTGGGGAATGTTCTGCATAAGTGCGCCCATTTCCTAGATGGAGAAGGTGAGACCGGAGGCAGGCCTTGTTCCCAGGGTGCTCACCCACGTCAGGGGGCAGGATGGGCCCCGAGGGTCCACGGGGCCGGCCCCTTGACCCTCCCAGCTGCTTCCTCCATCGTGAGCGGCACTTCCTCCTGACTTTCAGCCCCTCCGGTTATTAATAGCTTCAGAGCACAGATGCCGGTTAAGTTACAGACCCACGAGCAAACTGGGCAACTGACCAGATAAGCCCCGAAGTCCCCATCAACGCCATCACTACCACCTTGGTGAGTTCTTCTTACGAGCGGCCAGAGCAGCCCCTGCTGGCGTCAGGAAGAGCCCGGCTGGGTATGTATCCCGGCTCCCCTGGCAGGTCTCCCGTGGGACCCCAGCTGAAGTGGAAGAGAGGAGGGCTGGCTGTTCTCGTGGACGGGGCGGGGGGTGGGGGTGGGGGTGGGGGATGCGCAGTCTCATGAGAACACTCCCAGGACCTGCCGCCCAGCCTGGCTCTCGTCCAGCTGTGGTGCAAGGACCCTGAAGCTCTCGGGCGCACATGCTGACTGCTGCTCTAGGAGCTCAGCCAAAGCCCCGCCCTGAGGTAGGGGGAGGCTGCTGGGGGTGTCAGACCATCAGAGACCGAGGAGCTAGACACGACCCTGGAGGCCGCTCTGTCCTCTCCAACCTTCTCTCACAGAGAAGGGAGATTCAGAGAGGGACAGCGACTCACAGGCAGCCACACAGGAAGGGGCAGCAGTGCCGAGACCAGAGTCTGGGGCCCCCTTTTCCAGACCGTCAGAATTCCACCCACAGCCCCAAGGAAGCCGGGGCGGCAGGGTTTGAAAAGAGCTGGGAAGAGACTCAAAACACTGGCCCATTGCCTCCTCCCCTCTCTGCAACATAACTGGAGCAAGGAGATAGGGGTTCCCGTGACGGGGGGCCCCTCTTTTGCTTTTAGCTGCTTCTGGGGTCGATACAGGGGGCCAGAGAAGGGGCAGCACGGATCTGTTTTCCAAGGACGCACCTAGCCCAGCACCCTGGTGCCAGGCACACAGAACCCTTCCTGCAGCCCAGATTATTTCTGGACTTTACCGCCTGGCACTGAACAAATACAGGCAACGAGGCAAAACAAAGACCACGGGCGTGAGCGTTGTAGATATGCTCAGATACACCCATGGTGATGCAGGGGGGAAACTGAGATAAACAGAAGGTGCGGCTGACTCATCAGCTTTGGCTCGGAGTTCCTCTGGGCTTTTGGGGGGGGGGCGGTCCTAGGGCCGTCTCCCACGGGGCTGCTCCGTCCCCCGGGGCCCACGTGGGGGGCATGGCGGGCTCAGTCACGGGCACAGCCCCGCTGACAGTCTTGAACTGAGTCTGTGACTGCTAAGCTCAGCTCAGCTGGGTCTCAGGGGGGACACACGTGGGAGTGGTATGCCCGGGAGGTCCCTCCAGGATGCCCCCCTTCCTGGGGTCTGCTTCCCACTCCCCACCCCCCACTAACCCTAAGTGGAAGAGTGAACTTGCACGGTCTCAGGGGCTGGGGGGTCACTTACGCCAGCTGGGAGTTCCTGTATTTCTGCATGACCCCTTGGAACAGGCCCATGGGGCCCGAGGCAGGCGAGTTCTCAGGAGGCACAGTCGACCTGGAGGGTGCAGGGCAGGAGTGAAAGAGGGAAAAATACTCTGCATAAGAGAAGCGGGTCATGGCCGGAGGCAGGATCCAGGATGGAGGGATCGCAAGGGGAAAGACTGACAGACAGACACAGGGCTCTGAACCAAAGCAGATGGCCGGGTCCTCTCTGTGTGCTGGACACAGCTGCTGTGTCTCCGGATTATTTTTGGCCCTTGGAGGAAGCCCTGGGAGATTTAAATGACCATATAAGACAACAATGAGGTTAACCTCATCCCCGCCCCCACGGCCCCCTCCCCAGCCAACCCCGCAGGAGGCAGATACGAAGCAAGGTGACATTCTTCACCAGAGAGGATGTGAGAAGAGTCAACGGCAGGTCCCTAGATGGAAGGGGCTCAGTCTCGGGCTGGCCAGGCTGGGTCCCAACAGGGATGGGCAAGAGGTTCTTGGAGGTTGTCGGGGGGACAAGGGAGCGTGGCTGGGAAGCCAAACCAGGTCTGGACTCCCGCATCCGCCTCGCCGTGTCCTCGTTAGAGGGTCCTGCTGTCCCAGGAACACGCAGGACAGAAGTTACAGCAAAAGGCCATGGGGGGGGGGGTGGCCAGGGCTTGGAGTCAGATGGACACAGGTTCAAATCTAGGCTCTGGCACTCTCCGGCCCTGTGACCTCAGACCGGTTGAGCTTTTCTGGGTTTTAGTTTTCTGCATAACCCAGTGTCGGAAGCCGTGAGGCTGGAGCGAGTGAGCTCAGCTGGGGTCCAGGCACGGGGGTGCTCGGCACACGTCCGCCACTAACTTGATCATGATTTCACTTCTCCGAGCCTCAGTTTCCCCACCCCCTTGGGCTTTGGTGAGGATGAGAGGGGTGAAAGGGGGTGTGGTGGCCACGCCGCAGATCGAATTGATTGGGGTGCCAGGTGCCATGGACACTCCAGGAGGCCTGGCCTGGTTCCCCCGCACCCCTCGAGGGTGCCCTGTGGGACTGAGGACATTGCTACGTGTGACCAGCACCCTGTGGCGTTTGCAGGTGCTAGAACTGTGACCCTGAGGAGGCCCACGCTCCTCCAAGATAGGCCAGAACCTACAGATTTTGTGGGTGCCCTCAGCAAGGCCAGGTCATGGTGGAGAGGGGCGGAGGCAAGGCAAGGAAGCCGGCCCGCTTTGCTTTGGCCATCTCCGCGCGGGGGGGACCGCCAGGCCGGCCACCTTCATTCTCCTCACTGTCACTGCCTTCCTCCGTGCTCTTCTGAATGTTACTACTCACCTTTCCTGACCACCACCTGTGTGCTCCCATCCATCAGTCCTCTAGAGCGGGTACCAACGTCCTCACCCTTGACAGACGGGTAAACTGAGGCTCCGGGAGGTGGGTCACTGCCCCGGGCTCGCACGCAGCTGAGCAGAGCAGAGGCCGACTCAGGTCTGTCTGCAGAGGTCCTGATGCCCCTGCCTCCTGCCTCTTCATCCTGTCTCTGGCTCTAAGGGCTCTACTCTGACCGGCCCTGCGACTTTGAGCAAGCCCCCGCCCCCCCTTTGTGCCTCAGTTTCCTCATTTGTTAGATGTGGAGGCACGGCCGGACGGGGGGGTTTCCCCACTGCTTCTGTAGCTGAGGAGCCTTTGCTGAAATGAACTCACGTGGAAACTTTGCGTGTCAAACAGATCTAAGAGACCACATCCTGGGAAGGGGGCGGTTGTGCAAAGCCTGGCCCTGCAGAGGCCCCTCTCCACCCCCCGGAAAGCGGAGCATGCTGGGCAGGGTGGAAGGCGACCTGGGGCCCAGCTCACAGAACACCCCCCCCCCCCCCCGTGTGGTCCTGACAAAGCTCTGGGTCTCGGTCTGCGCAGGATCCTGGAGTCCCAGCCACCTTCATCACTGGCCCGTGTGTTACTGCTGTCAGGATGTTTTTAGCAAGACGATAAGCGCCAATAAAAACCCATCACACCACCCTAAGACCAGGACTATCTCTGATGGCAAAATAACTACAGCAAGACAGGGACGGCGAGGCGGCTGGGGGTGACAGCTGTGGTGACGGGGATGTCCCTCACGACCGTGCAGGGCCTTGCCTCACTTCTGTCCTCCCCACCAGTTGGATGTTGTTCCCGCTTCGCAGAGGAGGAAGCAGGCAGACTGAGTCCCGTGCAATAAGAGTTTCCCACTCCCTGCTCCGTCCCAAGCCTTGTGCCAGGGCCCGGGATGCAGACCATAGAGTCTCCGGGGAGGGGGGAAAGAGAGCAGGGACTCCTCCTGGAACCCTGTGGTCAGTTGTGAACTCGGCTTTAGGGGGATGGGCAGGGCAAGCGCTCAGAGCAACGGAGTGCTGAGCTGAGCCTCACGCTACATGGGGAGCCGGTCCGGTCAAGGCTGCGGGCCCCACTTCCCCTCAGCCCCGAGGCAGGGAGGGAATTCCCAGCAGAGAAAACCACCGGGGTTAGTCATCAGAGGTAAGAGAAACCTGGCAGGATGTGGGCACAGGTCATGCCCTGGAAGAGGCCCAGGTAGGGCCCCTGTCCTTCACGTAGGCGGCAGCTCGGGGGGTCAGGAGTACAGCACTGTCACCAAAAGTCCTGGCCCCTACTCCAGACACGGGTCAGGCTCAGGGAGAGTGGGGACCTGGGCTGCAATGACAAGGCTCCCCAACTTCTCCGAGAGCTGACAACCCCAGGGAGGGCATTAAATTCGGCTGGACCCGGCTGAAAACCGGTGGCTCAAACCAGAGGTTCAAAGAGGTTTGCTTCCTCCAGCCTACTTCGCAAACTCCTATTCATCCTGCAAAACTCACCTGCTTGACTAAGGGAATCAACCTTCTCTGTGTCCTTCTGAAACTGAGGCAAGCCTGTTTGCTGCGCCCTTCCTGTTGGGCCATTGTGTCCATCTGGGACCCTTGTTAGACTGCAAACTTGGGGAGGAGAGGGACGAGGCCTGATTCACATCCAGGTGCCAAGAAGGCACCTGGCACCTCCTAAGAACATGGTCGGTGTGGGTGGTTTGATCTGAATTCTTTGCAGCTGTGCACACATCAACCCAAACAAATTTCTACTTTATGCTTTCCTCCGTTGTCGTCTTAGAAATGTAACCTTAAAAACGTGCAGAAGTTTAAAGACTGGGAAGACCCAGATTCCTGGGCCCACTGTGGGCTGGTCCATCATCGTAACCTTGGGCTCTCTGATTCATGGCTGCATGAACCCTACTTCTCCATGGGATGGGAAGTTGGGTCTGCCTTTCAGGGAGCCCTCAGGGGGCCAGAGTTCAGCAGATGATCCCTATGCATGTTTCTGACTTCATCCGTTACATTGTGGTGGGAGAGAAGCAAATTGGAAAAAAATGGTTTTAGAAGGGGACGTTATCTTTTCTCTGGGATGTGGATCTGGCTTTCATTTCTAGGACCCCGAAGGCTCAGTTGACCTTTACGTCCACAGTCACCATTTTGGTCACAAGGTGGAAACAATAAATTATATTTATAGAGCATTTTATTGGTTTTGAAATGCACTTATTTGCCTCAAAACATTTCTTGGGCACCTACAACAATCTAAGCCCTTTGCCGGGCACTGAGGATACCAAAGTAGGCAATATCTGCTCCCTGTCCCCAAAGAGGTTGTATAGTATAGTTGGGGACACTCTCAGGAGGCCAGATAATGCCTTCCTATAGTGACGCAAAAGCTTGTCCATGAAACAGAGGCGGTCATGACGTGGGCGCTCTGGGTGCTCAGAGAGGAGGTGGGGGAAGGTCAACTCAAGCCGGGAGATGTGAAGAAGGTGCCATTTTTATTTGCTTTTCATAAGAACACTGCATGTCGGCTAGGCAAGTTTTTGTTATTACCATTTTAAGGATAGGATTGTTGGGACTCAGAAAGGTTAAGTAACTTGCCTAAGGTCACACAGCCAGTATGTAACAGAAGAAGGATTTGAACCTCCAAACCCACTTCTCTTTCCACTCTACTCTGCTACCTTTCTATACATTCCTATATTCACCCAATAGTCACTCACAGACAGCCATTTGGTGGTTGCTATGGGTCAAGAGCTATGTGCTAGACAAGAGGTTTCGCAGGAAGGAAGATGAGTGGGGCCCCTGCCCTCGTGGCCGAAACAAGTACATACAAACTGTAAGTCATAGTCGGGGCCATAAAGGAAACAGCCAAGGGAGCGAGTAAGGGGGAGACCTGTTTGACCTGGAAGGGTGATCAGGCAGGATTTGCTGAGGAGGTGACCCTCCATTGAGAAGGAGCCAGCCATGTGGAGCCCTGGGACATGTATGATGTCCTGTCCCGACACCTGCTCTGGGCTTTGGATGGCGACTCTGCTATTTGGGGATAAAAGGATTCTACTGGGTCCTGTGCTTCTTGAAATGCCATGTCTGGGAATGTGGGCACAAACCGGTGTGTCTCTTGCCATTGGGGACCCTGAAATTCTGTGGGTAGGAGGTGGCTGTAATGAGACCCGAACCCCACTTCAAAGCGGAGGAAGGAGAGGCACGGAAAGAGGCCTTTGCAGGATGGGCAGAGCTGGTTAAGCGTCCGAGCGGCAGAGCGGGACAGACGTCGGTTCTGTTCCTGGTCCTGCTGTGTGCACGTTTATAACATCGAGCCCAGAAATGTCCACCTTGCACGGCTTTTGGAAGGATTAGCTGAAAGGCTGTGTGCTGGGCGCATGAAAAGCACTCAGTGTGCATCTGGGGCGGGGCGGGGGGTGCGGGAGGCATGGGCTTCCCCAGCAGGACCCAAGCCTGCCCGTCTTCCAGAGATGAAAGGGCAGAGCTGAATCTGGGAGATTTCAGCTCCCATCAGGAGTGAGAAGGTGCAGGGTCAATCCCCTCCCCTGTATTACTTGTGCCTGGAACTTAGGTGATGGCTGTGCGACCCTGGGTAAGTCATTTCCCTTCCTCTGTGAGAGCTTTTGTCTCAGGAGGCTGGATAAGGGTTTGTGTCCCATGGTGGGTCTGTCCTTCCTTGCCCACCAGAGGAAAGAGGAGGTCAGGGTCCGGACCCCACGAGCCCACTCGGTTCTAATGTTTGTGAGTGTCCCCAGGAGGCCGGGGGGTGGGGCCCCCCCACACTGGGGAAAAGGCTGCAGATACCCCAGGGGATGTTCTCTCTATCTGATCTCCTCTTGAGAAAGAGGAACTTGTGGTCTGACTTAGGATGAACCAGCCGGAACAGGAACCAGGGCCTCCCAGAGCACCGGCCATGAAGTCACTTCTGTTTCTAAGGCTGGGTTCCAGAATGGGACACCCTCAAGGTGCAGCCCAGTAACCTGGTGCCTCCTACTCCTTCCCGCCGCCCAAGGAGGCTGCCCATCTTCCCCCTTAGAAGGGGTTCCTCGGTGTAGGGCAGCCTGAGTCTTTGCCCAACCTGCCTGGCAGAGGAGGTCCAGCCTCAACAAGGGCCAAAGTCACTTTGGGGAGCGCCTGGTGGCTATCATCAGGACAGGGCTGGGAGGTACCACCACCCACCTTCAACCCTGTCAACTGAGACTGGATATTAGAGACGGTCTGTCCCCTGTTGCTAAGAGAGCTTACGGGACTTGCCCAAGGCCACAGAGAAAGTCAGCTGGCTGCTGGAGACGATGAGATTTTTTTTTTTTAAGTAGGCTCCATGCCCAACCAGGGGCTCGAACTCACGACCCTGAGAGCTGCACACTCCACTGACTGAGCCAGCCCGGCGCCCCTGGAGACAATGAGATTTGAGGCCCGTGTCCTGAGGCCACAGAATATAACTGTTCCACCCACCACCACCTCCCCAAATACGGACTTGACCTGGATTCAGGGAGGAACAGAGCATTTTTAAACACAGCTTTCCTTCCTAAAAGCATCTTAAGATCCAATGCTTGGGGCGCCTGGGTGGCGCAGTCGGTTAAGCGTCCGACTTCAGCCAGGTCACCATCTCACGGTCTGTGAGTTCGAGCCCCGCGTCAGGCTCTGGGCTGACGGCTCAGAGCCTGGAGCCTGTTTCCGATTCTGTGTCTCCCTCTCTCTCTGCCCCTCCCCCGTTCATGCTCTGTCTCTCTCTGTCCCAAAAATAAACAAACGTTGAAAAATTAAAAAAAAAAAAAAAAGATCCAATGCTTGATTACCTCTCTGGTTCCCACCTCCTGCAAAGAAGGTACCCTCTGGATCTGTGCTGTCCACATGTGGCTGGTGAGCCATGGCAATGCGGCTAGCCTGAACTGAGATGGTCTGTGAGGGCAAAGTGCACACTGGATTCCAAAGACTTGGTAGGACAAAGAGAACGTAAAAGCCTCCTTCATAATTTTCCTATTGAGGACACGTGGCAATGATAATATTTTCCACCTAAATTAATTTCACCTCTTTGTCTTTCTGTGTGTAGTGTGGCTGTTAGGAGATTCAGAATTGTCTGTGTGGAACTTCGGGGGTGGCTCCCATCATATTTCTACGGTGCTGCCCCAGGAGGTCCTGCCATTGAGGTCCTGCTGAGACAGGGGAGCCAGAGCCAAGGAGGAATGGGTGACTTTGCTGGGCAAATGTCCCTTGCTTCTCAGACGTGTTTTCCCAGGAAGACTGCATCGGTAAGGTGGGGGGCTCTGCTCAGGACTCAGAACATCAACCCCACCGCATTCAAATATAAAGCCAGTGGTACAAAGCCGAGCCATGATCTTTGGAACCGGATCGTTCCAGTCTCTGCAACACCATCCACTAGCTGTGCAACCTGGGACTAGTTACCAGCCCTGAGCTTCCGTGTCCTCCTTTATAAAATGGGAATATAGCAGAGAGCCTCCTGGAAGGTCTTTAAGAGGGCTAAATGAGGCAAAACGAGTATAGCGCCTACTAGAGTGCCTGGCCTGTCAAACCTCGGTAAGTTTAGATAACAAACGTGAGTCTTTAAGCTGTAAAAAGGTACCCTACAGACCGAGGCTTTGGTCTTGGGTTAGCAGCGTTTGGGATCTGCACCTCACGGGTATCCTAGTTGGCTTCTCCTTGCTCACCTGGTCCATGGGTAGAAATGGGCAGGTTGGCGGTTGGCTCGTGTGGACACAGTGGCCTCAGCCGTGGTTGGGCCCCGAGTCTTGTCAGCCAGGCTCTGCTCAATGGCCATCTGGACCAGCTCGTCCTCGCTCAGGCTGCTATACAGGCTGTATTCCTCATTCCCAATGGTACGCTGTCCGCCCCGAGCACTGATCTCCATGGTCATTCTCTTCTGCCTCTCACCCCGGCCTCCAGAAGAGGCACTCCGAGGGGAGGAGAAAGCAGTAAGTCAGAAAGCCCTGTGACGAGACCGAAACCATCCTGGTCACTAACAGTTTGGCAAGAGAGTTATGTTTACCAGCAGGGAAGGCTGTGCTTTCCTCTGGCAAGCTCACGATCATTGTTTATCTATTCATTTTGTCACGTGATCCACTCAAACATCCATTCAGCTCCCCATCTCTCCATCCACTCGTCTGCTCATCAACACACCCACCTGTCTAGTCATCCATCCGATCGTTCGCCCATCTGCCCGTTGATTCATTCTCCCGTGCAGCCATCTGTCCACCCACCTACTCATTTACCCATCTACATCTGTCCACTTATCCAACCGCCTAATCATCCATCCAACCGATCGTGACCCGTCCCCTGATCTATCTGTCCACCTACCTATCCATGTATCCACCCACCTTCCCATTCACCCGCTCTTACATCTCTCTATGCAACCAACCATCCGCTTGCCCACCATTCATTTTCCCGTCCCAGACAGCTCATCTACACGTGCATGCATGCTTCACTAACTGACAGAGTATTTATTGAGCACCTACTCCGTGTCAGGTGCTCCTCTAAGCGCTGGCGATATAACAATGATGCCAACGGACAAAAATCCCTGCCGTCACCGAGATTACACAACAATGTCTATGTTCCTTCCTTCCAACAACCTCCCATTCCAGCACATCTCCTGGTCTCTGTGCTGGGCCGGGGCTGAGAATGTTAGAGATCAATCAGACATGGGCCTGCCCCTTGGGTCCGCAGGATCTAGTTAAAATCAATCATTAAAACGATTTGCCGTGTGAGTTCCAAGGACTCTCTTCTTGAAAGAAATTGCCTCGGGGAGAAGTGGACTTTGGTTGAATCAACTCATTTTCGGAAATAAAGTCAAATCAACGAAGCCTCCTTTCTGTTTTGACCGGCGAACAGGCAGTGTGACTGTAGGTCAGTAGTTCTCAGCCCTGGCGGAACATTAGAACCCATGAGGCCGTTTGAAAATTACCCCAAATACCAGTGCTATAATTTGGTTTGTTTAGCAAATATTCACTCCCCACTCCCCGGAGGCAAGGGTATCCCTGTTCCCGCTGAGATCGGGCTTGGCCCTGTGACTTCCTCTGGCCGATGAACGTTGGTAGACCTGGTAAAGCAGCTACTGACATGTGCACGTGCAGTGGGTCTGTGTCGCCCCAGAGCCGCTGCCCGTTAGCTGGGCCCCAGAGTGGACCTACTTGGGGCAGCCTGAGCCCAACCCGCACAGGGGAGCCCCTCCCAGCCAAGACTGCAACCGGAAGTCTACGTCAGCCCAGCTGCAGTGACCCGCAGACCCACAGCATGAGAATAAGTGCTTAGTTGGGGTGCTTCGTTACACAGCATCCTTGCGGCTCTAGCTAACCGATGCCCAAGGGTATCCAAGTGGCCAAGAACCAGATGTAAGGATGCCGGACTTCCCAAGTGTTTGGGAGGCCGTTCAAATTAAGATCCTAATACAACACCACTGTCTACCCAACAGAATGGCCCACATGGAAAAGATGTGCAACAGCAAGGGTTGGGAGGTGGGGGGAGGGGCATGTGAAGCGACCAGATCACCCACCACCATTGGAAGGAGTATCAGATGGTAAAAAGCCCTTTGGAAAATTGATGGCATTTGCTAAAGCTGAACAAACGCATCCTGTGACCCCCAAATTCCAGTCCCAGCTCTAGGGTCAAAAGAACCGTGTACATGCATTCACCATAAAACAAGCCCCAAAATATTCAGAGCAGTGCCACTCATAAGAAAACTGAGTGGAAACTACCTAAGTGTCTCTGAACATTTGAATGGGTTGAGTGTTGAATGGGCGACCGCGTTGGGGTGTATTCGCGTGATGCACCAACAAGATAGACAAACCACCACTCCACACAATGGGACGATTCTTACAAACCATAGCGAGCGAGAGAAGTCGGATCATAAAGAGCATCTATCCATGACTCGTTTATACAAAGGGCCAGCACAGGAAGACTAAACTGTGGTGACAGGAGTCACAACGGTGACCTTTGGTGGCTACTAACTGGGAAGACATATGGGCCAGACTTCTGGGGAGCCAACCACACTGTATTTCTTTTTTTTTTAATTTTATTTTAATGTTTATTTATTTTTTGACAGAGAGACAGAGCGACAGAAAGAGAGACAGAGACAGAGCGCAAGCGGGGGAGGGGCAGAGAGAGAGGGAGACACGGAATCCGAAGCAGGCTCCAGGCTCCAAGCTGTCAGCCCACAGCCCGACGCGGGGCTCGAACTCACAGACCGCGAGATCATGACCTGAGCCAAAGTCGGACGCTCCACCGACTGAGCCACCCAGGCACCCCTGGTATTTCTTGAGCTAAGTGGTAACATGGTTGGTCGGTTCTCTTTGCGAGGAACCTGTGCAAGCGTGATCTTTATCTACACACCTCTGTGAGCGCATCATACTGCAATAACACATCTACTTAAAAAGTAGGGGTGCCTGGCTGGCTCGGGTCGGTCCAGAACATGCGACTCTTGATCTCGGGGTCGTGAGTTCAAGCCCCATGTTGGGCATGGAGCCTATTGGAAAGGGATAATAACAATTTTAAAAAAGAATAAAAAAACAAAATCATTAAAAAGTATACAAACTAGGTTTTAAAGAGTATTGGTGCTTGGGACCCCCTGTCTCAGACCAATGAAGTCAGAATCTCTGGGAGTGTGGCCCAGGGATGACACCTCTATTGAAAAGCTCCACTGGTGACTGGAAACCACCACTTAGGAGAAAAACTGAAGAATAAAGAATAAAGCAGGAGGGGCACCTGGATGGCTCAGTCGGTTGAGCGGCCGACTTCGGCTCAGGTCATGATCTCGTTGTCCGTGAGTTCGAGCCCCGTGTCGGGCTCTGTGCTGACAGCTCAGAGCCTAGAGCTTGTTTCCGATTCTGTGTCTCCTTCTCTCTGACCCTCCCCCGTTCGTGCTCTGTCTCTCTCTGTCTCAAAAATTAAATAAACATTAAAAAAGTTAAAAAAAAATACCCTGATATTGATAGATACCCTTCTAATTCTGGTAACAGCCCTGAGGGTCACAACGACTGCTCCGTCCGGCACTAGCAAAGTTATTATTAAGCAGGTCTGGGCTTTTCAAGCACAGTAGAGGAGGCTGCAGGTCTGAAGACAGCAGATCAGCGAGCGAGCGGCACACAGGCATTTGGGAACAATGACTCTGTGCCCTGCCTCAGTCTCGCTGGTTATGACTCCCCTCTGTCTGCCTCTCTCCACCCATCCTGGCTGGCTCAGGCCTGGATCTCCTCCTGCCTGCCTCGGCAGTGGCCTTCACGGCGGTGTCCCAGCCCCACCCACCCACCGTCCCCTCTGAGGACCCACACCCCAGACCTCACCAAGTCCCTCCTCTACCTGCACCTGTTGCCCGGGACTTCCAGCCCTTTGAATCCATTTCTTACTCTCCCTGCACCCGTTCCCCCAGCACACCTGATCTTCCAGGTAAGGCGAAGATGCACCTTTCCCCCAACCCACCTGCGGCTCCCACCCCAGCGCCCTGGCTTGGGCTGTGCCGACTCATCTTCCTCCTTTCTGCACTCCTCAGGACCCCTTCTCACTCCTCAAGGCCCAGATCGAGTGTGCCTCTTCTTCCAGGATGCCTGCCTAGTTTCTTCCAAGAAGTATTCTGCTGCTACAACTTCTCCCTCTGGGCTGTGGTCAGCAGTTCATGTGTGGACCTGACCTTGGGTCCTCTTCCCGAGGCCATGGGAAGAGAATGCCTGGTTAAAGTTTACTGTACCCTCATGACCGCCTACCCAACATCCAGTTCCCCCATCTCCTCTGACAGCAGAACAACAGACAACAGAGCAGTGCCCGAGCAGAACTCTTCAGACAACAGAGTGCCCTTTCCCATGGATGAATCATGATTATTCCAAGCCAGTTGGAATGATCTCACCTCCTTGGCCAGTGACTCGTTTAGGGTGGATCTATAGCCTAGCTTTGTCCAAAGACACATAAAGAAAATTCTGCTGGGGCCTCCTAGAAAGAACTTCATCTTCCTAATAAAAGAGACAGCAGTGGAGAAAATAACTCCTCACCCACACCCCTGCTTTGTGTTTGGAGGACTTGATGCTTGGAGCAGCGGCAACCATCTTGTGACCATGAGGGGAAAAGTGCCGGTACGATGAGTTTGACAGAGTGAATGTTGTTAGGTCTTCTGGGTCCTTCATGGTATTGTTGACCTCCTGAACCAATGCTGGTCTGCCCTCTCTGGCTTGATAGGTAGAGACTGAAGATCCTTCTGCTTTAAGCAAATGTTAGTTGGGCTTTTTTTTTATGCAGTCAAAATCATCTTAAAGTATGGTTCTCAGGTCTGGCCAAGAGTCTTGAAAACATGCCAAGGCCCTGGTCTCACCCGAGATGAATGGACTCAAAGCCTCCAGGGCTGGCGCCCAAGCACTGCAATGTTCAAGGCTTCCCTAACGATTGTAGTGCGTAGCCAGGGCTGAGAACCCTTTTCTAGATCAACATGTCAGGTGGCCATGCTGGTTTTCCACCCCAGAGGAGGGGAAGGGGCATTGTGACCTCAGAATCATTTTGTACCTGATGTTTGGGATGTTGATTTTTTGTAGCAGCATCAACATTAGTTTTGTGTATCGTAAAAATAGCCAAAGACGGGGAATCAAGAGATTTAGGTTTACATAACAACTGACTGTGAGCACCTCTCTTTCTCTCTCTGGCCTTCGATTTTTCCACGTGTTAAATATCAGGATGGCCTAGAGCGCGTCCTCTGATCCTTTGGTCCCTACAGGGGCGCTGTGCAACCAGGTGGGTCCCCAGCCCAGCTGACCCAGGCGCCCTGCTTCCCTGTGCCTGAGGTCTGGGTGGGCCCAGCTCACCTTCGGGAGGGTGGGGAATGGGCTCTGCCCAGTGAGAGGTGACCCCCTTGGCTGCCCCAGGGCCAGGGTCAGGCTTCGACCCACCCCGACCTGGCACAAGGCAGGAATCCCCGCATGTGGTGCTACACTGTCCGGAAGTGCTGGTGCCCAGCGCCTGGCCTGGCATTGTTGTGCCCCCATCTGAGGGCATCTGCTCCAGGCCAGGTTGACAAGGGGGAAGACAATGGAGAGAGACAGAGACCTGGGTTATAGTATCCATGTTGATACTAGAGTGCTGTGTGACCTTGGCCAAGTCCCTGCCCCTCTCTGGGCCTCAGTTTCCCATTGCAAAAAGAGAGTTTTGGGTTTCCAAGTGCTGTTCTAGTCCTTTAGCCTCTACAACTCAGTGAGACATTTGGTTTGTGTTTGTGCTATTAAACCCCAAACTCCCTGTCCCCCAGGGTCCCCTATGGCCACCTTAACAGGTCTACCATATGCAAAGAGCTTAACATTAGTCATGAGGAAATAAGGAACCCGGTGGTAGCGGAAGGGTCTCAGATCCGGATGTCAGAAGCCCCAGGTCTAGTTTCAATTTGCAACTTACTAGCCATGTGACCTTATTTGAATCACTTCCCCTTGCTGGGCCTTAGTTCCTTTATCAGTAACAATGGGAATGAGACCACCCACTTCACCATGTTCTAGAAGCCGATGCCTGTGCGGGGGCAGTGTCTGGGTAGGAGGCCCAGCAAGCAGTCGACAGGACCCCCTCCCGCAGCCATTGGCCCTGCAGCCTGGCATGAGCTGATCAGAGGCGTAAGGACAGCACCCAGCTACTGGGCCCCTTTCCTGACCAGACGCCTGTGGGAGGAGCCAGGTAACCATGACCTGGACCTGTCAGTCCCCTACAGCCAATTCCAGACTCCCTCCCCAACGGGTCTGGCCCAGACCCTCCCCAACAGGTCTGGTGGCATCTAGAGACTTGTCAGTTATTTCATGGCATTGTCCCAACAACAGCTCTGGAAAGTAGGAACGTCTTCCCTCGGCTTGACGTTAATTCTTCTATACCTCCACTCCTTCTGAAAGGACCTGATGCCCCTGTGTGGTTG